AAGCATTGAGATAGCGAAATTCTGCAGCATGCTGTTCTATTTGTAACATGACTGGCAGCGCCAATCTAGTCCGAGGGAATTACGGGTTTTACCTCTGTGCAATAGTTTCACTTTACAGTACATTTGGAAATCCGCATGAACTTCACATCTAAACGCCGTGTGTAAGAATTCACATCCAGGACTTCGGTCAAATATTTTGGTTGCAATTGTGCGTGTGTTTTATTTTTTCTGGTGTTTAAAAAACAGTGATCTTCAAAGTAAGCAGAAGCTGAATGAAGGAAACATTCTAAATAATCATATTCTGATTTATTAATAAAAAGTGAGTACTAGATCTCCCTCCCCCGCCCAAAACCCCCAAACAAACAAACAAACAAAACAACTCAAACATACAAGCCCTTTGCTGATATTAATAGCCTCCTGGTCTAGATCACTTTCATATCCAATTTGAAATTGTTGAATACTGAAGGGAAGGGATACAAGTAGGCTTCACCTAACATTAATGAGTACACTCTTTGTTGAGTAAAAATAATTTGTTCCTCGTAAACAGATCCTAATGGCTTGTTTTCATTTCATGCTTACAATTTCCTACCTTCTTTGATAGAGGGTTGATGGGGCAAATAGTCTAATCTTGTTCAGTTTACCTCCTGTGGATTCCTAGTGACAGTCGTGACAGACCAACTATTCTGCAAATCACAAGAGCCAGCTACCAGGAGAGACAAACGTCTTTAATAAACAGTTTAAGGGAATTAAATCGCGCCCTGTACATGTAATGGGCATGCAGAATTCAGTACTGTACAATCGCTGCTCCATAGACTGTGTTTTCTAGGATAGAAAATAAATGATTCTTTCTTGAAAAGGAAAAGCGCATCTTAATGAATGAAAAGCAAATCTGAATCCCTACCACTCAATGTGTTTTTAGATGACATTATTACTAAAATGTTCAGTTTCTGCACTGTAAAGACATTACTAGCTGCCTTGCTTGTTTTTTTTAAATGCTTAGCACAATTGTCCAAAGAAATAATCGAAGTAATTTTTTTAAAGTTAATCTATCCTGTGTAAGGTGTTGTGCTTTTAGAAAACAAGGCACACTACGCATCCCCTTTACTCTGAGTCAAAGGAGCCAAGACCCAAACCCTATCCCAGAAATATCCATGCACAAAATATGGCGCAACTGTGTCGCAGTTTAATTCTTTTTAAAGATTTTTTTAAGTGTTTCCTAACCAAATAAATAATGACTCTGAGCCGCAGACAGAGGAAATCACACCTAATAATGTGAACCAACACAAGGAGAGTAGGTGCATAATAGACAGGGCTAGGAGCTGCTAACCACGTCTCCACAATGGCATTAATCAGATTAACCTGGGCAATTAGCCGGTGCAGCGGAGAGATCAAGCCTAAATCTGGGGCCTTTTCACACAAAAAAAAAAAGAAAAAAGAAAAAAAAGTCCCACTAATGGAAAGGATTAAGTTAATTTCATTAATTCTCAATACACAGCTCAGGCTCCTTTCACTCCTTTGTGTACCCCACTCCGAGCTCCACCTCTTCCCTCCCCCATCCCCAAAATAAAGTCAAATCTGGTTTTGTTTGTCATCTGCCTATTACCAGGAACTAAATCCAGGATGACGTCGCCTGGGTATAAAAAAGGGAAGAAGTGCAGATGGATTATACTCCATGCAGCCCTCTGGGTTGAGACCAGTAAACAGGCTAGAGTGGAGGGGGGAAAGTTACAGAGCAGTCTCCTGCGAGCGCACGCGCGCGCACACACACACACACACACACACACGCTGCCTTACGGAAAAAAGATCAATTTCTTTCGCTCTGATCCCCTTGAAAGTCTCGGGAAAGTTTCGGTTTCGTCCCTCCCTGCCCGCCCCTGCAGAGTTCGGGTAATGCCTGCTGGTATGTTCAGCATCGACAACATCCTGGCCGCCAGACCCCGCTGCAAGGAGTCGGTCCTGCTGCACCAGAGCGCCGCGCCGGTGGTGTTCTCCAACCTGCATGGGGACTCCCTCTACGGCACCGATTACAGCGGATTTTACTCCCGGGCGGTGGCCCCCGCTTCCAATCTGCCCGCGGTCAGTGGATCTAGGATTGCCTACAACAACTACTACTACGGGCAGCTGCATGTGCAGGCGTCCCCCGTGGGTCCTTCGTGCTGTGGGGCCATGCAGCCTCTGGGCGCGCAGCAGTGTTCGTGCGTCCCTGCAACAGGTAAGCGAGCCCAGGTGCCCGTTCGTTCTCACCCAGCTGGGAGAGCCCGGGATGGGGGGGGGGATTGAGATTGTTTGCGAGGCGGGTGCCTGGCTATTTGTGTGCTTGATGAGCCAGCTGTAAACAGCGTTTGGGTCCCTGCCTCTCCGAAATGACTAGGAATCCCAGCGAAGTACTGTCACCCTGCCAGTTCCTTGCCCTGTATTATGTCTATAGGACGCGTCTCATTCAGCCCCATTCTAATGTCGGATCGTTTGGCACGCGAGTTCTTTGTTTCGGGCTCAGAGAGGGATCTCGGGTTGTGTCGGTGGGTCGATGTCAGAGGGAAGGGGGCACAAGTTTTTAACGGAGTGATCTGATCTTGATCTCTCCGTCCAATGCAAATAGTGTGGTCGTCTTCTCTCTAGGCTACGAGGGTACTGGGTCAGTCCTGATGTCGCCTGTGCCCCACCAGATGTTGCCGTATATGAACGTGGGCACCTTGTCCCGGACTGAGCTGCAGTTACTGAACCAGCTGCACTGCAGGAGGAAAAGACGACACCGAACTATCTTCACTGACGAGCAGCTGGAAGCTTTGGAAAACCTCTTCCAGGAAACTAAATACCCAGATGTGGGCACCAGGGAACAGCTGGCCAGGAGGGTGCATTTAAGAGAGGAAAAAGTGGAGGTATTTTCCCCTTTTATATTTAAAAGTTAACTGAGTCTCAGTTCCTAGTCTAGCTGCAGCCATCGCCGCGCGTTGTCCAAGGCAAGCTGATGGAAGAGCATGCAACAGGTTTACAAGAGGGGCAAAAAGTTTAGCTCTTAAACGTACCCGTCTGCACTCGGATAAATAAACCGATCACTCAGATAATTAGCAAATTTCGATAAGCGATCACCCCTCTAAACGCGGGAAATCTTAGACTTGAAATATACCTAACCGATTGTAATTACTCTGCTTTTCCATTTAAACTGAACCAAAGCAAATCGAGTCAAAGATGTGCATGCCACGCAGAACTGGTGTGACGCGTATACGGGCTGAAAGGGGTGCCCGTCTGAACAAAATGTTGTTGTTGTTTGTTACTACTATAATGATTTGATTTATTACAATGACAGGTTTGGTTCAAGAACCGCCGGGCAAAATGGAGAAGGCAAAAGAGATCCTCTTCGGAGGAGTCAGAAAACGCACAGAAATGGAATAAAGCTTCCAAAACGTCCCCAGAAAAGAGGCAAGAAGAAGGGAAAAGTGATTTGGACTCCGATAGTTGATACCTTGCAAATGGACCCTTGCCGTGGACTGTGGGACTTGCACAAAAGGATGCTACTTGCACACACTCTGCCTTGTTGGAGGGAAAAGAGATCTGTATATAGTGTACATTACCCCGAGGTGATTGCTTGTAAATAAAATAAGTTGCGGAGGTGTTGCACAGGTATACACCGGCCCCTTTATTTATCTTTGTGCTATTTACAGATACTTTAAATCCGATGGTGGCGACATATTTTTCCTTAATCTAGAAAAAGGGGCGTCTGCAGTTATTTATTTATCAGGGGTTGACTAGTTTGGAAAGAGTGGAAGATACGGTGTTGTAAATGGTGCTAATTTGTAACTGATTAATCCCTAATTTCAGCGTGTGAAGTGATGTTTAAATTTATTAGCAGGCGCGAGACATAATTAAAAACGAAAGCAAAACTTTTTTATTTTATCTTTTTAAATACGGGCAACGGAAGAATCCACCTGTGAACGGTTGCAACTGTCTAAATGCACCGTAACTCCGAATACGGTTTGGTGGGTTTCCTACACTAATGGTTACTGTCGTCCCATAGCGGTACCATTCATTGCCGAAGTTGATGGTTCTTTACAAGGAGCGCCCAGCAATCGTTTTGTAACTAAGCTTGTCTGTAAAGCTCCCCCAGCCCTCATATTTCAACTAGGGTGATTAATGCTTAAGGTCAGCCTGAGGCGCTAGTGTCAGTTTTTAAATGGGTTCTGTGTTAAATGCCCGCCTGCGGTGTCTAGCGTGTGCTGCTCTGGAAGTCAGGGGCGGGCAAGCAAGCCCCCAGAAGAACGCATGGCCATTTTCAGAGCAGCTCGCTGATGCTTGGCCTCAAGCTGGCAGGAGAAGGAGCTGTCCGCTGCCAGAGCCCAGGGCGGGGACACTGGCTAATACACTGCATGTAAATAGGGCACGGCCCCCGCCCCTGGAGCTGGGCAGATGAGGGCCTGGGGGGAGCGCTCCCCTCGCTGGTCAGACGCCCGGGGAGCGCTTTGTGGAGTCGGCTCAGCCAGGAGGGCGCGTTTGGCTGGCTCGCTCTCACCGCGTCTGAGGCTGGCGGCCTTGGTTAGGCCGGACAGGCCCGCGGGCCTGAGTGAGCCGGGGCGCAGCGTCTTAGCAGCCTGCAGCCAGCCCTGCACTCTAGCCCCTGGCCAGACTCCGGCGGGGCGCGCTTTGCGCCGCTTGCCACGCAGCCCTCGGCAGCTGCTGGCTCTGAGCAGAGCGGGCAGTAGCCCAGCACCCCACCCTGCGGCGCAACGGGCCCCGCGCCGAGCTGTGCCCCGGCCGCCCGCAGGGCTGGGCTGGGTGGGGGCAGCGATGAGGGCAAGGACACGGGGGTAGAGCGTGGCTCCAGGGCCGCGTGGGCCCCGCTTCCCCGCGGTGAGCTGCGCCCGGCCGCAGGGCGCCCCACGTGCTGGCAGCTCTAACCCACCCCCCCGGGAGGCGCCTGTTCCCAGCCCGTTCCCCGCTGCAGGGGCTGTTTCGTGTGCGCCATGCGCTGGCCGGGGCTCTCCCCCGCTGTTAGCCTCCGCCAGCGCCGCTCGCAGGTGCGAGGAGCCGGGGCACGCCTGGCGCTAGGGCTCGTGTCCTGGCAGGGGCAGCAGGTGTGACGGCCCCGCTCCGAAGCGCCCCATTTCCAGCGCCTGTGGATGAGGAGGGCCCCTTGGTTCATTGAGTAACGTGTCCTGCGAGCCTGGTGGGGGAAGTGGGCGGGACGAGCACCTGGAGAGCTGGCGGCCTGCGGGGCTGGCTGAGAGCTGCAGAGCAACCAGGAGAAAACTTCAGCTCAGGCCGGGTTACTTGTCATGGCTTCACCAGAGCTGACTGACTAAAAGCGATCAGAGAGACAAGGTGGGTGAGGTAATGTCTCTTATTGGACCAACTACTTATCCTGGGACCCTCAGGGCTACAACTACACTGCATATAATAGTGATTTGATCCTTTATTCTGCCAATGGCGTCATGTTTTGTAATGCAATATTTGTAAATCCATTCTCTCAGCTCCTCTGTACTCTCACAAACCACAGTGGAGCTAGAAGAGATAGCACTAGGAAATATTTTCAGGTAAAGCAAATGTAGCCTCCCCTTTGTTGTTTGATTTCCCAGCTCCCCTCTCTCTTGCTTTCTGGAGAGAGATGCTCCTTTGAGTTTCCAACCAGTTTGTCTTTGATGATCCCCATTTATGAGAGCTATCTCACTACACTGATATTGCTATTGATACAACTCAAATAAGTCACAAACAAGAGGAGTTATGAACTGATCTAGGGGATATTTGGTAGGAAGGTGCTAGTTGCTCTTTACCCCACTAAGGCAATAGAATCATATTTGGTCTACAGTGGCTTCCTAATCTCCTTGTGTTGCTCAGTTTATGCATGCCTCACAGTGGAGACTTCCACTCTGCCCCTTAAGGTCACGTCCATTTGTGTTCATTTCCCCTATGCCTGCTACTTGAGACACCCAGCCCCACTGTCCTCATCCCTGTTGAGTCACACAGTCATCTCCCACCCATACATGCTTCCCCTTCTGTACCCTTGTTTAGAAAAGATCTTTTCCTTGTAAAGTTCCAAGCATTGCTACCACCAGTGCAGCTCCACCGGCGATAGCAATGGTAGACCCGCTAGTGTAGATAAGGCACTGGTGTGAGTTGGTAGTCCCACCATTGCTCCCACTGGTGCAGCTGTCCAGGTGATGGCAACAGTGGGTAATTGTAGCAGGGGGTGGTGGTGGGCAAGGGTAGTATAGACACTCTAACACCTGTGCTCAAACATCTCCCTCCATTCATGGTACACCCAGTTTTCCTATGTGTGTTCCTTCATGGCTTCCTCTATATCAGAGTTTATTTAAATCTCCCACTGTAGAAGTAGCATGGTGCAGCTCTGCTGGTATTCGTGCAAGAGTTGGCGATTTCCCAAAAATTGCCAGTAAAGACAAGATTCCTGGTGCTCTTGCACTCACCCTTTGGATGAACCCAACACCTCTTTCCCCTCTGGTGAGATGCCAGAGTAGCCCCCATCCCACAGGGAAGAAAAGAAATAGGAGTGGCCTCACATGACCCAGTCCTCAATGGATTGATTACTGTCTAACCACCCCTAGAGAAGAGGAGAAGCCGATCCTGCCTTTCCCACTGAAGAGAAGAAGCAAAGGGGGTACCATTTCCCAACTGATGCTTCCCCATCAATGCAGATGCTAGTATGTGTGTGCAGAGCTAATGTTATGCTTCTAAAAGCGCAGCAATAACACACCAGACATGTACATTACCTATGTAAAACTGTATTGAATGTACAGCTCAGCATCACTGAAACTAGGTTCCAAAATGTGGGAAGTGGTGGTTTATGTGTGGGGAGGTGTTTTTTGGTAAGGTATATGCAGGAAGCCTCATTGGATGGATGTTTAATCCCCCCCCCATATATTTAGCCAGTATTATGTTTTAGTGGGCATGTTCATGCTGCATGTAATAGTGAGATATAGAGGAAAAGGTAGTATAGCCTCGATTTTGTAAACATTTATGCACTGTCTTAACTTTACGCATATAACCAGTCCACTGACAACTTGTTATTGGTGTTAGTTTGGGAGTAAAAATGATTTTGAATGGGTAAAGTATACCTTTTAAAAAATATGTATTTTATTAAAATGGCTTGCTACCTCTTGACGAGAGGGTACTAAAATGTAGTTACTATAGGCTTGATCCTTCAAACACCAATACACATGTTTAACTTCATCCATGTGAATACTTTCATTAAAGTTAATAGCATAAATATTATTAAAAAATCTAATTGAAAGTCAGTTTAACTCCTGAACTAAACCATGTGGGTTACATTCTTAAAGGTGACTTCTAAGAAGGGAGAATTTTTCTTCTTTATTATGTGTAAAGAAAGCCTGAAAAGTTTATTTCGTAGCCATGTTTTTACAGCAGAAAATCTTGTTTAGCCTGCAAGACTGATTGCTGGAGAACTAGTGAAATGAGGGTATCGCAAGAATCAAGATTGTGAATGGCTGAGCAATTAAGAGGGATGGAAACTTTTTTAGTCAAACTCCTTAACACTCCTTGGTTCCAATTCTTACTCATGTTGAATAGTATCTTACTCCATGAATAGTTGCATTGACTTGGATGGCACAACGCTTGGAGAAAGATGTAAGTAGGAGTCGCAGAATCTGGCCCTTTATGTTTTGTTTAACAGCTTTCAGTGATGAGCGCAAACGATATTTCTCCTCTGAGACATCCAGCATGGCCTCCAGCAAAACTAGGAGCGATCAAAATTAATATTCCTGCTATTTGTAAGGAAAAAACAAGTGTGTCTGTGTGATCTTAAGAACAAAACACCTTTCAGAGCCTCTTTATGCATTGCAAATAGGCTTGGAAGGATTAGATTGTAACGTTTTAACAGTAAATCTTGACTTTACCATACGTACACAAACTGATAAAAATAGTTCCATTGATGATAATTGAAATGGAAAAGATAGGCAAAGTAAGAAAAATACTGCTTGTGAACTTATTAGAGTTTGATTTGGGATATTTACTTTGTATATTTTAACATGTGATGTTGACAGTTTGTATTGTAGCAGTTATAAAGCTTTAACTTTTTCAATCTCAGCGTCCACTGTCATTAAATTATTGTCTGACTCTCCCCATAATTTCCTACAATTGTGAAAATTTAAATTGGTTTTGTGTGATCGTGAAAATTTAAATAGGTAAAAATTGAAAAATGTTCATAACAGATATTATTCATCAAAATTATATAAAAAAATGAATTCTGCAAAGCCTAATAATAAAGGAGTTTAGAAAAAGATCAATTTTAAAAAATTCTCTGTAGGTCCCCTTTAAATTCTTCTAAGTAGAGTAGTCAAGATTTGACCCTAAATGTTTTAATCTCACTCTTTCCTGTATATTATAGTGGAAACTCCGCAAATTAACAAGACAGTTTTGCACCAGTTCAGAGAACCTGCATTTTCTATTGATGTAGTAGCTAAAACGTGAGGGATCTGAATCTCCTGCTGCAGGATACAAGTGAGTACCATGGAAGCTCTAAATACCTGCACAGAAAGGCACATTCTGTTTTCAGTTACATTGATTGAGAAGGAGTTACTCCAGAGTCATACCGGTATAACTGCAAATATAATTTAGCTCTGTGGAGCACTAACAAATGATGGGATAGTACATCAGGGAGATAGATAATTAGGTCCTATATTCATACAAATATACTAATTAGTACTTTGCACTTCTCCCTCTGTTCCCCCCTGATATATATGGGCATAATCCCATCAAAGTTAATGGGAATGATGCTCACATATCTAAGAGTGTGACTAAACCCAAGGATCTCAAATTGCTTTACAAACATCAATTAGGCAAGACTTGCATGGTCAGGATGGGGAAGAGTGAGGCACATGAGGCAGGATATAATTCCAGGGAGTTAGGTGTCTAAATATCTTTGTGAATCCCACCCACAGTGGTTAAGTGACTTACTCAGAATAACACAGGAAGTCTGTGGCAGACCCAAAAATAGAGCCTGATCTCACTTAAGCCTTACCTTGATGAGCAAAAAGGCTGCATTCAATTTTGACCTGATCTACACAAAAAAATGACAGCACCCTAGTTACATCCTCAGGGCTGTGAACAATTTTGCGCCCTGTGCAACATGGTTATATTGACCTAACCCCCACTGTAGATGCAGCTAGATCAACGGAATAATTCTTTCATTGACCTAGCTACTGTCCCTTGGAGAGGTAGATTTACTACAGCATAGGAAAAACTCCTTCCGTCACTGCAGGAAGTGTTTACACTACAGTGGCACATCTGGAGCGCAGTAGCTGTGCCACTGTAGTGTAGACATACACTATGTTGGCTCAATGAAATTAGTCTGACATAACTGAAAAGTCCTGTTAACATTTATTAAGATGCAGGCAAAGTCATAGTGTAGCCAAGATGGGGACGCTTACACTGGTGGACTCCTTTAACTTTAATGAAGTCACTCATGATTTACACCAGTGTAGGTTAGTTCACAGTCAGTGCCCACATCTCATGTTTTTGTTACAACGCTATCCTTTCTCCCTGACCTATTAAATTAAAATAATTTCTAATAATTTTCATCAGACAATAAAAATAATCAAAAAGGAAATTAATACTTTGTTATTAAGGGAGATGGCATATAAAGGGGTCAGGGATGTGTTGCTGCTTCCCCTATTTCCCCTTTCCCCCTTTTTTGAATAATGGTATAGACAGGTTGCTATTTTTCAAGCTTGGCACCATCGTGGAGGGCGGAGAATTATTTCAGACAGTACTAAGCATGGATAGAAATAATCAGATAACGTTAAGAAAAGGAAAATGTAGACCAAATGTCAAGACAAACTTCTTGATGATGAGATGTGTTCAGGAGTGGAATATTCTTGCACGGGACATTTAAGACTAGAATGGAGCAAACTCTAGTAAAGGTACAATATGGAAGCATTATGCTGAATGGAGATGGTTTAGGTCATCTAATAGGTCTTTTCCAACTCTGACTCCTCTGATATCTCTCTCTGATATATATAATCCAATCCATGCTCTGTTAGCATATTCATCATCTGAGTTTTAAGTGATGGGAATGTTTTTTAATCATTGTGGTAATCAGTGTTAGAAAGAACAAGCTAGATTCTCAGCTGGTGCAAATCAAATGACACCATCTGAGAATCTTAACCCTACTTTATATTTTCACTAGTATTTGAGTTCAAAGCATCACCGTAACTGGATCCCAGGAACATAAACTGTATCAGCTTTGTTTTACAAATGACTTATGAAACAAAGACACATTTGAAGTAGTGGAAGTTATAGAAAAATTGCAGCATTTTAAGGTAGATAGGATACCGGTCTAGATGGAA